CCCCTGTCACCGCTCCCCTCCTCCCTCCTCACCGCCCCCCCTCAGTTCTTAAGTGTGGAATCCTGCCGAGTCGAGCCAGCCTCTGCTTGAGTCCCACGAGGTACGCTCTCCTGGGTGGGCTCGTCCTCTCTGGTGGCTCCGGAGACCCCCTGCCGAGACCGTCCGCCCATAACTCAGGCCTGTGTCTTGCTCTTGAACTCTGGACTCGAGTTCTAACCGCCTTGGCTGCGCTCGCATTTGTATGACGGGCGTCCTGTTCCCTCCAGAAGCCCCCTCCCGTGGCCCGTGACGGGAAAGGGCGTCCTCTCCATCTGCTCGGGTCAAGCCAGAAGCCTGAGGCACTGCCAACGCACCTCAGAAACACCGAGACCTGTTGGCCCTAAAAAACGATGCGTTTGTGGCCTCTCTCCCATCTTTTGGCCACTTTTTCATCACGCTGTCTTCGAAGCCACCTTCATGTCTTGGTGAAGTCCTGCGGTAACTGCCATGCAGGTTCTACAGAACTGCTCGTGGCTCATTCCAGTCCAGTTGTGTACTGCAGCCAGAGTAATTTTTCAAAAATACAAATCCGATCAAGTCACTACCCTGCTTGAACTCCTTCAGTGGCTTCCCTTGGCTTGCTGGACACAGTCTAAGCTCCTTATCTTGGAGACCAGGCCCTCCACCGTTTGGGCTTGTCATTCTCCCCAGCCTCCTCAGCTGTCCCCCTAGCTGTCTGCACTCCAGCCATATTCGTCTTTTTATTTTTTCCAGGCTCTTTTCTCTCTTTTTTTCTCTATCGTCGTAGGCTCTCACCTCAAGGTATTTACACATGCTATTCCCTTCCCCTGGAATTCTCTTCTGTCACCCACTCTCCTACCTAATTGTAACTTACCACTTTCCTTTCTGATTCATCACACTTGTAATTATTCGTTTACCATCCTTGTGAGGTCTGTGCAGGTAGGAACCACGTCTGTCTTGTTCACCACCAGCTTTTCACCTCCCCTCCCCTCCCTAGCACAATGTTTAGAATGTAGTGGTGCTTGTTAAATATTTATTGAATTAATAAGGAATATCTGTGTGGTTCCGGGCAAAGTTTCTTAGTATTTTTGGGTTCAAATCCTGGCTCAGCCACTTTCTAGCTATGTGACTTTGGGCAAATTATTCACTCTTGTGCCTCAGGGTTCCTATCTGTAAAATAAAGACAGTAATAGCACCTGCATCATAGTGTTATTGTGGTAATTAGATGAGATCATTCCTGGCAAGTGTGCTTGGAACAGTGGCATGTACTGAGTGTTAACTAAAGTGGTGCCTCTTACTAGCTTTTGCTTGCGTATCTCACCCTTGTGTCAAATACATTTTCAGAATTGAGTTTATCATCTTTGCTCTTCTTACCCTGCCCCTATACATGATACCCAAATTTTGGAATTATTTACCCATAGCCTATATTTACGACCCACCAAATACAGTAATTTTTTATTTTAAAATTTCCTCATATTCTCCTTTTCTCTTCACACTGACCTTCATGTAGGCTCTGTCTCTTCATGTCTTAGTTACTTTGCTAACTTCGTGGGTGCTTTCTGACTGCAGGCCCACTTCCGCTATTCACTCGTGCCCTACTCTCAGACCAGTGGGCCTCAGTTATTAAATTATGTGTTTTCCTTGACTTCTGCTCTCCTTGCCTCATTCTCACCTAACTTTATTCATTCATTCAATCATCCATTCTTTAAGTGCAAGTTATTTTACTAACCATTTTAGATATACTTTGGATTTGAAATCTAGTCTCGCAATTTCATGTATCCTGCTCTAGTATCTCCATAAACCATAGAAATGAACTAGAAATGTCAAACTTTCAGTATCCATTTTTTGTCTCTGGGACTTGGAAGCTACCTCCATCTATGACTCAATTTTTCAGTTGGAAAATGTGGTCAATATTGGGGAGATGAGAGTACAGAAGAGCACTTGGCTATAACTTGGCATAAGATAAGATAGATAGGTAAGTGCCTTGAGAGAGGTCCAGAAAAGGGGGAAGATCTCATGAGATGATTAGAAAAGGCTTCAAGGAGAAAGTGATATCTGAGAGCTTTTCTCTAACCACACCTTCCTTTTCCTGTTATTTTTCTCTCTTGCTTCCGCTGTTGAACCTAATTTTTACCTCACTACGAACTGAAGTTCCATGAACCCTGCCTGTTCTAGTTCATCACCTCTCATGACTTAATTTGCTTTCCTCCCTAACCCCAAGGCCATGGTGACCTATTTCATTTATTCTAAAAATATCTGTCAAGCACCTACTTTGTGTCATGTACTCTTTTAGAAACTGGGGATATAGCAGGGAATAAAACATTGTTTCTGCTCTCAAAGGTACTAAAATCTTCATCCTCTTCTCTTTTTGACATTTTTGTTCACTCCTTTGTGCTCTCATCCAGTCTTATGATTGTAAATGTAATGGTTATGCTGACAACTCTCAAAATTATATCTTCTCCCCAAAATGGTCTCCCAAACTCCAGACTCATTTAAACAACTACCTACTCACACCTCCTCTTGGATGTTGTTCTGGTTCCTAGAATCTGAGGCAAAAGCTTTTGTGCTGTTATCTTATTAGGGAGTACAATCCCAGGGAAATGAGGATAGGCAAAAGAAGTGAGTCAGGAGAGGAGGTCAAGGTTCAGTCAGTGGGATGCTAACACTGCCCTCCTCCCCAGCACATACTTCCCTTTTGTGTGGGCACCAAACAGACCCTCATGTGAGATGTGTGGCCTGAGCATGAGGCAAAGTATTGTTGCATGGTTACTGCCTGAGATTGGTTGCCCATGGCAATAGGAACAGAATAAGTGGCCAAAGGCCCCACAGGCAAGGGGCCAAGAGGATCTGAGATGCCCCAATGCTCTCAAACTCACTCTGTCCAAGTCTGAACCGATATTCCTCACATCTGCACCTGCAGCTTTTTCCGTCTTAATTGTTGAGGGTAAAATCTTGGCGTGATTCTTAATGCCTTCCTTTCTCTCACACCCCACATCTATTCCTTTAGGAAATTTTATTGACTGTACCTTCAGAATATATCCACAAACTGACTACTTACCACTTCCACTGCAAGTGAGCCAGGTCCACAGTACCTTTGTCTCTCACCTGGATTACTGCAATTGCTTCTTAAGACGTCTCCCTACTTCTTCCCCAGGCACACACCAGCCACACACCAGCCACACTTCTGCCTTAGCACCTTGGGGCTGTTTCAGTGCTTAAAATACTCCTTTCCTAAATATCAAGAGAGCTAAGTCACTCACCTTCAAGTCTTTGCTGAAATGTCACTTTCTCACTGAGGCCTTGACCATACTATTTAAAATTGCAACTTGACACCCACCTCCACCACCCCCATACACATCCCACTTTTCTGGAATCCCCTTACCCTGTTAATATTTTTTTCTATGTGCTTATTACCTTCAAACATTCCATCTATTTTACTACTTTTTATGTTTATTGTTGACTGGCTCTCCTGCTAAACTACAAGTTCTAAAAAGCAGTCTTTGTTTTGTTCACTGATGTATCTCAAACACTTGAAACCAGGCCCTGACATATGATAGGTGCTCAGTATATATTTGTTCAATGAATTTCCAACTTGCCTGTCTTCAGTCTTAGGTAGTTCATACTGTTCGGATTTATTTTCTTGGTTGCTTTTGCAATTAAAATGAGGAGGTATATAATAGATTTCCTTCTTGTTTGGTAAGATTTCCTATAACCTTAATGTAATAGATATCCATACAGTAAATATTTCTAGATCAGGAAGCAGTTGAAATCCTTAACATCTCTCTATTTATAAGAGCAAAAAAAAAAAAAAAGTAAATGACCCA